GCTGTAGTGTTTGGGGTCGGGTGGCGCGGCGGCGGGACTCGCTGGTCGTTCTCCCTCCCCCCTCCCTCTCTTCTCAAGGGCGGCCCGCAAGCGACAGAGCCGCAAGACGCATCGTGTGCCTTGCCCGCACCCGCGCTGCTGCTCCTTCGTTGGCCGTTGTTTCCTACTGATTCGCTCGGCGTTAAACTACCCCCACCCCCTCCTTTCCCTGCGTCCAAGGCAAGACGGCCAGGGGCACGCCGACGCGGGTACTGTGCTGGGACAGCGCTGCGTACGATCCAGCCGCACAACGACTGTGGTCAGGAGGACGCATCCAACAGGACTGCGGTGTAAGCTTAGGCGCTCCACAGAACGACCGAAAGAAGTTTCAAAAATTAAAAATGGGGGAAAATGTCTCATCTCATAATAATGTGGATTGTATCACTTTATTACATAATACCGGACCCGTGCCAGCTTGGTTTCATTACGTCATAAACAAAGCAAAGCGTTCACTCGAAATGCTCGATCGCGAAGCGTATTTATTAAATTCCTCCAATTTTTCACCCATCTAACTTTAACCGAACGCTGTGGCCTAAAAAATATGGTCTATGCATGCCACTGGCGCTGCCTATGGTACGTGTTTTCCTTAGTTTGGTCACCACATCATGCTAAATTTTATTTCGGTCTCATTCTCTATGACGTTCACTAGTGCCATAATAATAATAATAATTCAGTTTTTTTTCTCTATTGAAAAAAAAAAGTTTGTTGTTTTTTTACTGTGGAAAAAGGGAGGCATTGTAATTGATTCTACCATTGGAACCGGCGTGCACACATTACATCGGGGCTGAAACGACTCGACGCCCCAGTTTGAATGGGACCTCGCATCGCGCCAGCTTGCCTGCGCCGCGCACGTGATGGAGCTGTCCAATCAGAGCGCTCCCGCTCGTGCCCCTCTCTCCGAAGCACGGCGGAGCACGGCGGCGTGTGCGAGCCGGTAAAACATGAGCTGATGGTGCAGTAATTGTAGGACCCGGTCCTCTGGCTCTGGGAGACATCAATCAAAATGACAGCGTTCGATTCCCGGGGCGCGGGCCGGGCCGGGCCTGGGCCTGGCCTGGGCCTGGCGCGGACGGGACCATCCCTTCCGGCCGTCCGTCGGACTGCGTCCCCGCGGGGAAAGGGCGCGAAGGGAAATCCCGGCCAAATATTCCACTCGACATTCAGTGAAATAAATCGCACCGGCGGGAGATTGCCATCGCACGGCCCCGGCCGCCAAATGCCGAAAATTGGTAATTTCGAGTGAAAATACGGGGGGCGGCTCGGTGGCCCGTCACAAAGGGGCCGCCCGCTTGGCGGCGAGCCACACGTGTTGATGGAAGCGTCCAAACAAACTTTGGCAATAATGAGAGAGTTGGCGGCCCTGCCCGGCCCCGCCCTGCTTGCCGTTCTTCCTGAGACGGCATTCGCAGCTAGTGCAGCGAGCGAAGCCACTTCCACTGCAGAGCAGAAGCCGGTCGCGCCATTTCCAAGAGCCATTTCTGTCTCTCTCGCACCCCCACGAGCTGCACCATGGAGTGCAGCAGAGACAGAGCGACGAACAGATCCAATGAATTAGCTCGTCAACCACCCTCTCTCACCATGTGCTGGGGCAGAGTGGCTTCAAACGGTAAAGCGGAGTGAGTGCTGCTGGGTTCGGCTTCCGGTCGGTAGATTCAAAGGCCTTGATTGGTCTGACGTAACCTGCCGCGCCACCGCCTCAACTTCCCTCTTTGCGCAGAGCGATCCAATACAGCGCACTCCGGTCGAACCTTTCGTCGAAAACTATTCCACTCCAACTTTCTAAAGACCACTTCAGGCCGTGGGAGAGAGATGGCTGCACGTTCGTTGATCACAGAGTCTTCCAGGAATGTCCGATGTCCGTGCACGGGCTCCACGCCATGTTTAGAACGCAGCAGGAAAAATCTCGCTCTCGCCAAGCTTTCCACGACATGCTCCCTCGTAACATTCGTCAGAATGTGCATCGAAATGGCCATGTTGTTATTCTGGGGAAACAGGACACGCTATGTCGATCAAAGGCAAGCCACATCCGAGTTCTTTTCATCCGGACGATGATAGGCAAGAATGATGTGGGCTCAAAATACTTTTTTTTTAGAACAAGCCATTTGATTATTGTAAAGTCTCAAACAGTTTGAAAGGTTTTCAGAGTATTCGGCCATTTTTATCTCATATAATTTATGCTTTTGAAATAATTGCGTGAGACGTGTCGCTGGAAGTAATTTTACTCTCCCCCTTAACTCCCCCCCCCCTTCCCTTTTCCACCTCGCCTTCTCGATCATTACACTGCAAAGCGGTTTGGTGTGCCGGGAACAGCCAGGGGCCTAGCCGGGGGCCTCGCTGTGGACGGGGCGAGCAAAGGGGGGCTGGGTAACCGAGGCCCACAGAGCGCACAGCGCCTGCAGACCACAAGACTGGTCCATTGTCAAGGGGGCGTCGTGCTGGGCCTGCCTGTGCCGCCTGGCTGCCAGCCGGGCTGTGCCGCCTGCCACGCTGCGGCGCGGCCGGGCACGGCGTACGGGCCGCACACAGCCAAACAGTCGTGTCGAGCGCCGTGCCGGCAGCCATGCCGACAGCCTGCGATCGCACTCTGTCTTTGTCGCCTGTAACCAGGACGCATGGGGCAGGGCACGCAGGGCCGGCCTGGCCGTATGGCGGGGACATCCTCGCGCACGCAGAACGCGGATTGGGTAGGCTTCCATAAGTTGTTGCGCAGGCTGACGCTCTGCCGCGATGTTTGATGCGTGGAAAGTTGCAAAATCCAAAGACGGAGCGAACTTCCCTCTCGCCGGAATGGCGATGGTCCCCGAGACGGCCGCGTGCGTGGCCCAGCTGCGACTCTCCCGTACCATGAACTCGACCAGCCGAAAAGCGGAAAAAGTGCACCGAACTATGTTCTTGAACGACATAGTTCAGTGTACTTTATCCGCTTTTCGGCAGGCAGTTTAGGCTGTATCGAAGGCGGTAGGCAGTTCCAGCGCTAGAGAGACAGGTTTTTCTTCCCCTCCACTCCCCTCTGCAGTGTGCCAGCAAAGCGTCTGGGGTTTGGGATTGGCTTGCTGACGACGCCCTCGTCGGCGGGCAGCGGCATTCAGGCACACACTGCGCCGTTACAAGCCCTGCGATGTCCTCTCAAGAGTCCTGGACGGAGCCACTGCCGCCCAACGCCCCCACACCGCCTCACCCTCCCTCGCCCGGCCACGCCCCGCACTCACTAACTCCCCACTGTCCTCTCAAAGTGGTCCTCCACGCGGGCGACGCGGGGTGTCGGGGACACCTACAGTGTCCATTCCACGGAACAACAGCAGGACGGGCGAGGCGGGGTGGTCGGCCACCGCTCACCCGGCCTTCACCCGCGCCCATTGTGCATTTCAAAATTAATCTTTTCAAGTTCTCCCTGCTTTTCTCTGCGGCCCGCGGCCCGCGTTGCGAGTGGAGCCGGGCGGCTGCAGAAAGGCAGTGCGACGCTGCGACACGTCGCCGAGACGAGGGGAAACATAGAGTGCAGGAAACGGGCATAAAACCTGGCAGTGCCGTTATCCCTGTTTACTGCCACGGCGCGGCGGCACAACCGGCGGAGGGGCAGGACGGGCCAGCTAAGGCGCTCTCTCTCTCTCTCTCTCTCTCTCTCTCTCTCTCTCTCTCTCTCTCTCTCTCTCTCTCTCTCTCTCTCTCTCTCTCTCTCTCTCTCTCTCTCTCCCGCACACGCCATCGCCACCTTCCAGAGTGATGATCGCGGCCGTTCCGCGCTGATACGCTCCGGCCGCACATAAAGGGCGTCGGGGCGGCGGCAGGCCGGGCGGCAGGCCGGGCGGCTCGTGTTCGCGGCACCGCGCCCTGCGGTCTGCGCGACCCCCTCCGTCTCTCTCGCACTCATGGAGCGTGGCGTAGGGGTGCGAGGGAGACAGAGCGAGGAGTGCGGAAGACTAAGGTCGCTGGTCGCGCCTGCCGCCGCGCTGCGCCGACGCCCACCAGGCCTCCGCGCCGCCCGCGGCGTCGGGATTGAATTTCAATGAGTAATGCCCGCTTGCTGCGCCGGGCTAAATATTTGATCGTCGCCTCGACCCATAGCACCCTTCCTTGTTTGCAGCCCCTGCTCTAGAAACTGAAGAGAGTGCATGGCATGCTCCTCCTAGGAGTCAACCACAAAGCACACTCTTCCCAAGAGCATGCTTGCAAGCACACTTTTCCCAGGAGCATGCTTGGCAAGCACACTCTTCCCAGGAGCATGCTTGGCAAGCACGCTCTTCCTAGGAGCATGCTTGCAAGCAAGGAGAGTGCTTGCGAGCATGCTCCTGGGAAGAGTGTGCTTGCAAGCATGCTCCTGGGAAGAGTGTGCTTGCAAGCATGCTCTTGGGAAGAGTGTGCTTTGTGGTTGACTCCTAGGAGGAGCATGCTATGCACTCTCTTCAGTTTCTAGAGTGGGGGTGGATCGGCGTGGCGGCGCGTGGCTGCGACTGGGGGCGGCAGGGGGATCCGCACGAAGGGGGCGCGAAGGGGGCGCGGGGAGATATACGGCCGGAAGACGTTAAAGAGCAACAGGGAATGTAGCCTGCCCGGCACGGCCCGGCACGGCCCGGCACGGCCAGAGCAACCCGCCCGCTCGGCGGCGCGCTGCGGCCGGGGAAATGAGTTAGGCCAGTTTGCAGGGTAAGCGTGTGTGCGTAGGCGGTGGAGCGCGGGGCTAAGTCAAAGAAGTGGCGGTCGGCCCCACCCCGCCCCGCCCTGCCCCGCCCCAACCCTCACCACCACGCCACGCCCCACACCTCAGGCCGCGGCGCGGTCGGCGACCCTCCCCGTCCTGCATGACTAACGGAGCGTGGTCTGTTTTAATGGAAGTGCAAAATGCTTCCTCCTGATTCAGCCGTCCAGTTCGTTCCCACTTATGGCGCCAGAAGCGCCCCACGCGTTGCCAGCGTCGCGGTGGCTGCTCCACGCTCCAGTCCAGGCTCCAGAGATCAACTTACAGTGGGGTCTGCAGCGGCACCCAGTCCTCTTGCGAGGACAGGCTGCGCACGGCGGTCCGCAGGGCATCCCTCTGAAACACACGAACAAAACAGCGTTACGTCTCAGTTGCACAAATTTTCATCATCTGAGTACATCATTTGTAGCGTGCTTGACCAGCCGCACTCCACAGTCGTCGGTAGGCGAGATCGTAGAGGCATTGACACGCAACAACTATGTTGGTGGTTCGAGTCCCGCCGTTTCTTTTCTCTTTTCTGCACGCTAACAGGGCGAAGCGATCAAGCCTGACTTCATAGACACCACCTCACTGACCAGTCTCCATGAGACTAGTTTGACTTAAGGTTAGGTTAAATTCGTTGTTGATTCAGTTGTTCGTAGCTTTCCTGTCTGGTGCGACGTACCCTCCCTCCCCTCCCTTCTCCTCCATCTCCGATCTCTTCTTTCCTGAAAACAGGTCGGACAAACCGTAGGTCAAACTCCCCACCTAAAGTTTGTGGAGGCTGCAAACTGCACTCACGTAAGTGCGGGGACTGAAACTTCCACACACGTTCCACAAGTGCGCAGTTCTCTATACTCGGTTTCACAGTGCACTAACCAGGCGGTGCGAACAGCAGTCAGTCGCCCCTCGTCAATATAGTAAAAGTATGGGTCATTCCATGTCAACTCAACGAGGAGTTAGACATGAGGGTCTCCGAATTTGGTGATAATTGGTGAAAACATTGCAAATAGTGACTAGAACACTCCCCTAAAACGGTTTTGAGAAATTTTGATTTTTCGATTTTTTGAGGGTTTTTCAAGTTTTTGAGGTTTTGCGAACAGTGCTTTACTAAAACGATCATAGATCCTTGAGTTTTTGAGCTACAATAAACTTTTTTTTTTTCAAAATGCTCAGAATGAAATGAGGAATCTGAAAAAAAACTTTGGAACCAATTTGGACAAAATTTGTCAAAAGTGCCAAATTTTGAAAAATTGGACATTGAACGGTTCAAAGAGGGCCATCCTCAAAAAATCTGGAAAAAATATATTTTGTACCTCAGACTATGCCTAAAACGTGTGCAAAGTTTGGTCGTGGGGTTTTGCGTCGTTTGGGAGCTACTGCGCCTACATTACAGTCATACACTAAGAGATATCGAAGAAAGTCCCCACAAACGGTGCAGCGGCACGCCAACAACCCAGGAGCCAGTCGCGGATCTAGTGGAGGGGTAATGATGTGATCGACTACTACTCCACCCCCACCCCCGGGTTCTAGATAAGCCGCCTGGAAGGTGGGCAGTGGGCACTACTTGTACTTTGCTCTTGCTCCTTGACTTCGGCCTGGAGCAGGGTACTCCATAGAAAATCCTGGATCCGCACCTACCCAAAAGTGGCATTTTGTGATGAAAACCAAACTTTCCGAACCGAACCGTACAAAGGCCCTGGGTAAAATGAGAAATGAACAAAAAACTTTGGAAAAATCAAGGTTTTTTGTGAAAACCTTTTAAAAATAGCCTCCGACTTCAGAGTTCACTGAGGGTCTTTGTACCGACAAACTCGGTTTCCTTGTCCAAAATTACGCCTTGAAAACTTTGACCTACCCATCTATCACATTTCTCGATCTGTGACAGGTCTTCACATTTACCGCAACCTAAAATAAATACCTTACGTGATTGCAAACCTTTAGAAGCCCGCCATTTCCAAACTACTCTGCAAACTCAACAGTGGGCTCAGCACACTCAGTAAAGCGTGTTTTCACTAGTACACTCCAACGAGAGTGTGCTTAGATGAGGCGTAATTTTGAACAAGGAATCCGATTTTGTCTGTACAAAAACCCTTGGTGAACTCTGAAGTCGGATTTATGCTGTTTTTAGAAGGGTTTCACAAAAACCTAGATTAAGTGTTCGCCCAGGGCCTTCGTACGGTTCGGTTTGGTTTTCATCACAAAATGCCACTTCTGGGTAGGTGCGGATCCAGGATTTTCTATGGAGTACTCTGCTCCAGGCCGAAGTCAAGGAGCAAGAGCAAAGTACAAGTAGTGCCCACTGCCCACCTTCCAGGCGGCTTATCTAGAACCCGGGGGTGGGGGTGGAGTAGTAGTCGATCACATCATTACCCCTCCACTAGATCCGCGACTGGCTCCTGGGTTGTTGGCGTGCCGCTGCACCGTTTGTGGGGACTTTCTTCGATATCTCTTAGTGTATGACTGTAATGTAGGCGCAGTAGCTCCCAAACGACGCAAAACCCCACGACCAAACTTTGCACACGTTTTAGGCATAGTCTGAGGTACAAAATATATTTTTTCCAGATTTTTTGAGGATGGCCCTCTTTGAACCGTTCAATGTCCAATTTTTCAAAATTTGGCACTTTTGACAAATTTTGTCCAAATTGGTTCCAAAGTTTTTTTTTCAGATTCCTCATTTCATTCTGAGCATTTTGAAAAAAAAAAGTTTATTGTAGCTCAAAAACTCAAGGATCTATGATCGTTTTAGTAAAGCACTGTTCGCAAAACCTCAAAAACTTGAAAAACCCTCAAAAAATCGAAAAATCAAAATTTCTCAAAACCGTTTTAGGGGAGTGTTCTAGTCACTATTTGCAATGTTTTCACCAATTATCACCAAATTCGGAGACCCTCATGTCTAACTCCTCGTTGAGTTGACATGGAATGACCCGTATAAAAAATATTGTTCCATTTTTTTATCCCATTTTTTAGGTTTTTTTTTTTATTTATCGGAATGCAACGATTATCCGACTGGGGCGGGGCTGCCCTAATGGAACGCGGCGCGAGGCCATCAATGATGCACAAAGTGGCGACGCGGCAACCCTTTCAGACCGACACAAGCACGCACGCAGCACGCACGCACGCCTGGGTCTGGCCTGGGCCGCAGCCGCACGCGAGCCACCCGGTGGAGTGAGGACTAAATTCGCAATCAGCTGCGCGCCGCAGCTACGAATCGCCGCGGCAGGTGTCTGCCCGCCTGTCGGCCTGCATGTGTGGGAGCAGGAGCGTGTTTGTGTGTGTTTGTTTGTGTGTGTGTGTGTGTGTGTGTGTGTGTAGGTGTGTGTATGTGTGTGTGTGTGCGTGTGAAAGAAGACTGCGCGTAGAGTATGGTTGTTTTGTACCCTGTGTTTGTGCTATGTCTTTGTCTGTCTGCCTGTCAGTCTGTCCGTGTCTGTCCGCCTGTCAGTCTGCCTGTCAATCCTGCCTGTCGCTCAAACTGCCTGTGCGAGTCCGCATCTGTGAAACTAGACTACGCCTAGAGCATGGCTATTTTGTACTCTTTCTGTTTGTGCTAAGCCTATGTCCGTCAGCCTGTCAGTCTGCTCGAGTCTGCCTGCCTGTGTCTGCCTGTCTCCAGACTGACTACTGGCGGGGATGTTGTTTGCACTTGCCGAGAGCCCTCTCCCCCCCTTTTTTTTCCACCCCCGTCCAGCGGCCCTTATCACGGCGGCCCACATATTTCCCGCCGTTTATTTTCAATGGCGCCGCCTTTCTTCCCCGGGACCATCCCTCACGCCGGGCAACGCCGGGCAACGCCGGGCAACGCCGGGCAACGCGGATAACTGCCGTGACCACGCCGTGGCGTGGCGCGTCGTGCCGTGTCGTGTCGCATGCAAACCTTACGAGCAATCCCGGCGGCAATCCGCGGACGTGGACGTGGACTGGGACCCTCGTCGTCGTCCTCCATTCCCTCTCTGCCTCCGCAGCCCCTCTCCCCTCCCGATCGGCCACGGCTGCGGGCTGAGTCGTGTTTCCGTCGCTCTGTCTCTCTCGCACTGCGGGTGTACCTTAAAGGTGCGAGAGAGACGCAGTGGCCCTCCGGAAGCAGTGTGCCGGCCGGCGACAGCGGTATTAATGAGAATGCGTGCATTCCCCCTCCTCCAGGACCGTCCAACACCCTCGGACGGCACGACACTTGCCGGGTGGCGCTGCGACATTCCACTGTCGGTGTTGCTTTCGTTTACAGCGTGTCACCGGGACGCCGGGCGGCCAGGTGAGCCCCCCCAGGAGGTGCCGCACTGCGCTGCCGAGTGGGCCCATTCGCCGCTCTCCTTTTATACGCTTCTATAAAGGAGCGAGTGCCGGCCGGCCTCTCTAAACTACTCTCACTTGGCCCTCGAACGGGCTCTCGCCTGGCTCTCGCCTGGCTCTCGCACGCCGCGGGCGCGGCCAGTGTTTGGCATTGTGTGTGCAGCGGGACCGCCGCCTAGCCGCCACTCGTAGCGAGTGGAATTACCTTCAGTGGCGCCAGACCGGCTCGGAAGGTGAGGGAGGGGAGGGGGAGGCGGTGGAGGAGCAGCAGGAGAAGACGGTGGAGAAGGGGCAGAAGACGGTGAGGAGAAGAA